TATATATATATATATATATATATATATATATATATGTATATATATATATAAACAAATGAACTGTTGGGGCCAATAAGAACACTTATAGATTAGTCGGATTATTATTGTTTCACGGGGTACATGATGACGTATATAATATTTAATACTAACTTTATATTTTTTGTATTGAACTTGGCTGGTAATCAATTTAAAGGATTTTTATTATCAAGAAGTCTGTAAGTGAAAGCTAAGGCCTGGTTTCCATAAAATCGCTACACGCTATCGTTGACAGCTTTGGGCGTTGCTGATTGATCGGCCGAACAAGAGAACCTTGCTGATTGCATCGAAGATAGCTTATTTGATTATAATAAGATAGCTATTGAATGTTTTATTTGAATTTCTGATAGGCTTCCCAGGTTGTATCAGTCTTACTGTAATAAAATTTGAGTCAAGACAATCTGTTTTCTATCTGCAATTCTAAATATTCTCAATTATCACTGGATCTGGATTTTTTGTTCGCAATTCCCTTATTGTACTTCGCTTAGACCAAGTGGATCCATGATCAACATCAACATCAATATCATTAATATCAACAATTACAATATAACTATCACTATTACTACAGTATTATTATCATCATTTTATTGTTGTTTTTCTTTTATTGTTCTCAATTGTTAGTGGTAGCGAGCACGGCAATATAGACAGACGCCCCCAATTGTCAACGAATGCTTGTGGCGTCCAGGTACTAGAGGTGCTAAGCGTTATATGACGATGGAGTATATAAATATTATTCATACAAGACACGCTACACATCACACACACCAAAACAAAGGCGATGCCGTGTGTGAGTGAGACACAAGAAGATGTGAGAAGATAAGTTTGGAAAAACAGAAACATCGGTAAATTTGGAGACTGAAGATAAATTCCCTGGTGTGAACGCAGAGGGACGATTCGTGTGCATCCCTGTGTACAGCTAAGTTGTGACAACGTAATTAAATTAATAAGAAATTATCATTTGCAACCTTTTGGCCAGCACATGGTCACTTTAATTCTTGACACTAACCGAATAAGGCGTGTTTTACCTTGTTGCAAAATTTTGGCAACCTTCATTAAAATAGGAAACTTTTTCGCGCTTTCTTTCAGGGCTTCTTCAGGGTGGGTGAACTGGCCACAAAAACAAGGTTCGAAACTAAAGTTCTGCAACCCCCTGACGTGTCCTTCACAGCCATGGGTCTTGCATTAACCCTCGTCACATTAAAACTACAGCAGGGAAGCACCTCACTCCCGAGTTTGAAGCGCAGGTCAGGTGCGGATCCAGGATTTTCCATGACCTTCGCACAGATGGAATGGTCCTTGCATTGGTGAATCCAGAAATTGGAAATAGAGGGTGCCCAGAGAGGACCTTCACAGATAGACACCTCAGCCCCCACTGGCCACAAAAAGAAGGTTCGGAACTAAAGTTCTGCAACCCCCTGACGTGTCCTTCACAGCCATGGGTCTTGCATTAACCCTCGTCACATTAAAACTACAGCAGGGAAGCACCTCACTCCCGAGTTTGAAGCGCAGGTCAGGTGCGGATCAAGGATTTTCCATGACCTTCGCACAGATGGAATGGTCCTTGCATTGGTGAATCCAGAAATTGGAAATAGAGGGTGCCCAGAGAGGACCTTCACAGATAGACACCTCAGCCCCCCTCCCCTCCATGGTTGGGGCTGAGGTAAGAAATATTACGATTACGTCACCTCTAGATGACCAGAAATGACATTCTCAGGATTTGAATATAATTTTCAGTATTTTTCTCTCCATTCTTAAATAGGTTTGAAATATTTACGGGGGCCGGGGTTCCCCTTGAATCTGCCACTGCATGGGGAATCCTCTAACGCACAGGTGACCTAGGGTTTTAAGACAAATACCGTATATACTCGCGTATAAGACAAGACTTAAAATAGCAAATTACGATCGAAAAAAGGGGGTCGTCTTATACACACGATATTCAAATTTTAGATTTTTATATAATCATATTCGTCTTACACGCGAACTAATATCCGTAACACGCGAACTTACTACTGTAATGAAGCAACTAAAGTTGTATGAATGAACGCAATTTTAAGGGGAAATACGATTTTGGTGGTCAAAATTTAAAAATTCATTCCAACATACAAATATAAGAAAATTTATGATTATGGCACCTCTATATGGCCGGAAATGGCACTCACAGACTTAAAATTTGAATATCATTCTCTTTTTATCTCACAATTATTCTGTTATGTATCAACAAAGCTACTTTGGGTTGTGTTCGATCAAGGAGAGTCGAGGGCCATGCGGACCGTGGCACGAGAGCGAGGTGTTACACCACTGAGTACATTCCACAACTTATTGAAAATAGATTTTATGGAGAACAGTTATAAAAAAATTGTAACTTTGCTGATCATTAACCGGGTGTGCCCGATAAAGAAAGAGAGACAGGGAAGATATTCCTGCGGTGGCGTATCAAGGGAATGGGGTGCCTTAGCACCTCCCCACCCCCCTCCCTACTTCAGAGGTTGAAAACAAAATAATACCCCTTTTTAAATGTTACAAAATAACTGACATAAATTTTAAGTATTAAGTGCCATTCCCGGCATCTATGTGTCTACAATTATTTCTCAACTCAGCCTCATCCATGGTGTGGGGCTCAGGTGGCTAATGTTCGTAGTTTTCCGGCATCTAAACGTCTCAAATTCATCAGGTGCAAGCTCGGTGGTCTAGAGATATGATGCCAGGCTAGTGATCTGGAAATCATGGGTTCGAGTCTCACTGGATAACAACTTGCAAATATTTTTGCAAGCGTTTTGACACGCACTGAGTATTCAGTATATTGTCACTACATGTTGGACAAAATTACACATATTATAATTGATTCTCCTGACGCAAATACAGATATTGTCTATTGTGCAATTATAGCTAGCAGTAAAGTGAATCTAAAATGTATTCATGAAGTTATGATGATCTGAAGTGTTTAAAAACGTAGGCCTATACAATAATAGTTGAACCAACTTAAAAAAAAAAACAAAAAAAACGTGCGTTCAAATTTGTTATTGCTCTAAAAGTATGATTTGTAAAAGTAGTGTATCGTACCGTACGAAGATAATAACAATTACCATTCAACAATAGAACAATCATCGACCTACTTGCAGTGAAGTGAATCTAAAATGTGTTCATGAAGTTATTGTGAACTGACGTGTTTC